GCCGATTACGACGACGGATCTCTAAGCGGTGGGAGCTCGCCAACCCTTCTACCGCCTTTTGGGGCACGAGGCCTGGTGCGACTTCTACCGATGCTGCGTTTCAGCACAACACAGCTGCAGAAACGGCGAAGCTCAATGGCATGCATACGGTCAGTGCACTTATTGACATGTACAAGTGTTTCGAGACGATACGATTTACTGCGCTGCTGGACAGGGCTAGTAAGATGCAATTTCCGATGAGATTACTTTGGATGCTTATTCACACATATCAGGCACCACGGCAGGTGCGAGCTTACGGGTCATTGTCCACCAAATTCACCTCCGCGCAGGGCATATTGGCGGGATGCTCTCACGCCTGCGCCATGGTCCACCTGCTCCTCTGCCAGTCCTTGGAGGCCCTACGCAGGAAGTATGCGGATGTGGTGCCACGGGCTTTGATGGATGACGTCAGCTTTCAATGGATTCGGGCAGAACCCTCTCAGGCGGTCGTCCTATTTCATGCTGTTCGATGGTTTATTCGCCAGGTGCAGCCACTGGGTCTCATCATTCAGGTGGACAAAAGTGGTTGCGTGGGTGGCACTACTGAGGCGACGCGAGTGGCGAAGAAGCTGGGTGGACTCATTCGGTTTCGCTGCCACGAGCACATGCGCAATCTAGGACACGAGCTTGCGGGGGTGCGACTCAGACGTATTCAAGAGAGAAAGCGTGTCATGGGCGTCCTGGCCAGGAGGGGCAAGTTGGCGGCGTTACAACGGGGCCGAGCCCAGGTTCACACTCTGTGGCGCACGGGCCTGTTGCCTGCTGCTGCACATGGAGCGGGAGCTAGCGGAGTCGTCCCTGCCACGCTGGCAAAGCTCCGCACACTGGCAGGCTCGTTGGTGGGAGCCAAATCACACGCCAGTCTTACGGCTTGGCTTGCCACTCAGAGCGATGAATGGTTTGACCCGATATTCGACGTCACGACCGAGCTAGTCTGCAGATATGCTATCACAGTTTGGGGTGGATTGGTACCACTCAGTCAGTTACAGCGGGCGTGGGCTGCCATGATGGAATCTTGGAATGGTGAATTCACGTGGGCCAGATGTAATGGGCCTCCCTCGGCGGTTTCGCTCAGCCTGCACAGGGTGGACTGGAAGATGGCGTCGGCACATATGCTATACGACGATCAGGGCACCCTCGTGAACCTTCTTACCACTACGCCATGGGATGTGAAGCTGTTGCTGCGACAAAGCATTGGACGATGGCAGATGCTTCGCATTGTCAGCCACATGCAACCCATAGTTGGGAATCCTCATGGAGTCTGGAGGCGAGCACTTCGCAACTCAGTTCTCAGCTTGAAGAATCCGATCCATAGAGGCTGCGCCCGCAGATTGCTCGGCTCCGCATTGTGGCCCCCAGCGAGAAAGAATGCTCTTGGGATCTCTGACAGCCACCAGTGCGAGATTTGTGAGAGTTCTGAGGCTGGCACGTTAGGGCACCAGTTGTACAACTGTGAAGGGGTCCTTCACCCACCTGAGGAGCTGCCTGTTGAATCCCTTTCAGAGGAGGTCTTGGAGCGCAGGGCGTATCTGCGGGGTCTTGGGGACAATGGGCTAGGCGACCCAGAGTGGGATTCTCTGGAGCTGTACGGGCTGCCTTACCATCCCATCAAGCTTGCGCCCCAACCCACGCAGTGCCCTGTGTTCCACTGGGGGGCTACGCATCTTCCCTGGGGTCGGCGGATCTACACTGACGGCTCGGGGCTCGCGAACGCGAGCCCTGAACTGCGTAGGTGTGGATGGGCCGCGGTGGAGCTGTCGGACTCTGGGCTGCCCTTGAGGGCGGTGTTTGGGCCGCTCCCTGGGCGCCAATCGGTGCCCCGTGCGGAGCGGTACGCGGGCTTGATGGCTCTCTCGGTAGCCCCCCAGGCGACCACAATATATAGTGATCATTTAGCCTTTGTGCAGGAAGGCCAGAGCTGGAGTCCCCAGCTTGCCTGCGGGTTGTCCCGACACGCGGATGTGTGGCGCCGTATCTTCCAGCTCTTCGAGCAACATAGGCCACCGCCTGAGTTTGAATGGGTCCCTGCCCACAGAGACATCGACGAGGTCATGTCTCTGGAGCAAGGACAGATCACCCGCTACTTGGGTAACTCTTGGGCCGATTTTTTTGCGCGCCTTGGAGCCCAGGAACATCAGTACGCGCAGGTTTGTCTGGACGCGGAGAAGGCCCATTTGAAGGCCAGCAAAGCCACCTGGGGATTCTTGGCGCGCGCGGTCCATATCATTGGGGAGTACTCCAAGGCGTTTGAGCCCCCAATGACCCCCGTTGGTCAGCACGTGGAGCGAATCAGTTTGACACTCGTGGAGCACGAGATTTATCGCCTGCCGACTCGTGCTGAATGGCGCTGCAGGAAGTGCAATATGTCAGCCAGGAGCGAAGCCACACTGCGAGTGATGTGCAGTGGGGCTGCTAGGAGGTGCCAGGGCAGTGATCTGGAGCGCTGCCGCGCTGACATCATTTTCTCTGCCGAACCCCAGGCTCGCCTCCACACTGCGAGCAGCCCCGCGGTGTCAGATCCTGTTCCTCCCTCGCTGGGCCAGGACCCCTCCTCTCCTTCCGTGCCCGACGCCGCGGTGGGGGCTGGGTTGAACGCCATCGCTGCTCTGGGCCACAGGCCCGTCCGCCACGGTAGAGTGATCATCTGTCGGAGGTGTGCTGGATACTGGATCCTCCCCGACGGCAAATGCCGCAAGCTGAGTAGAGTGTGCGAAGGGGAGGCCAAGGTTGCCAGCACGATTCAGAATCACCGAATGTACTGGCGACACGCAGAGGTAGGTTGCCACCCCAAGACGGGCGTGGATTTGGGTCCGTGGGATGGTGCCCTTGTTTCTGGTTCGGAGCCTGGTGCCGTTTGTTTCCCGTCTTCCGAGGCTTCTGGACCAAGGGCTAGCTCTGCGTGTTCGGCCAACCAGGATAGTATGGAGCAAAGACACTGTGGTGGTCGTGTCGAGACGTCGTCCCGTCGTACACCACGTCCTTGCCCACCTTCGGCAGCCTCGCTCGAGGCCCGAGCGAATGCTGCGAGCACGGTTTTGTCTCAGGCACCGTCGGAGCCTGCTTCGGACTCTGATTGAATCAGAGTTGGCCTCCCGCTCATACTCCACAGCGCTGGAGGCCAGTCTTCGGTGCGCGTAGCGCCCCCTGTCGCCAGGCCTTCTCCCCTGGCCCTCTTCACTGCTCGGCGCTAGTCACAGACCTGCGCCTCGGCAGCCGCAAGCCGCAAGCCTCCTCCTCCTCCCCCTCCTCATCCTCCTCCTCCTCCTCCCCCTCCTCCTCCTCCTCCTCCTCCTCCCTCCTCCTCCTCCTCCTCCTCCTCCTCCTCCTCCTCCTCCTCCTCCTCCTCCACCGCCTCCTCCTCCCCCTCCCCCTCCCCCTCCTCCCCCTCTTCCTCGCGGCGGCGGCGACGACGTCGGCCCCAGTCGGGCAGCGTGTGCCGCCCCGGGCCCGTCGTGGCTTCGCGTCCTGTACGGCAGGGCGGCCGCCGACCGCGGCAGCTTCGCTCGGGAGGGAAAGAGACACACAGACACAATTCATCGTCGACTCCCAGGAAAATGTGGGCAAATATGGGAAGTGAGGTGGAAGACAAGAACGCAGAAAATGTTTGGAAATATAGAGAAATCCTGTTATTTGTGTGTATTTATTTGTGCGTCCTTGGGCTCCTTGATTCGCGTCGTGTCGACCGGCGGCGACCCCGCCGCCGGCGTTCCGCGGCGAACGCCGCCGGCAGCCCAGCATCGGTCGATGCCGAACGGGGGAACGACCGATCGTTCAGGGTTGAGCGATCTCCGCGGCGTCAGAAACCGACGCCGGGGTCGACACGGCACGGACCTGCTGTAATCCATGCTCGAAGGGAGCTTCTCCCGAGAGCAGGAGACTGAGGCGGAGGCTCTGCCCAGGGACCGGGGCCAGGATCGGGCCCTCTATCTGATATCCCTGCCTCGGGCCATCGGCTGAAGGCCGCTGGGACCTGCTACGTTCTTCTTGCAGTGCGTTGTGGTTATATGACGCGTAGTCGAGGAGGTGAAGGATGGACGCGTGGTCGAGGAGGTGAAGGATGGAGGAGGGAGTAGCGATGGGGAGCAGATTTGGAGGAGCAAGGAGGAGGGGGAAGGAAGATGATCAGAAGGATGTTTGTCGAGTGACGTGGAGTGAGACGAAGAGGTGTTTTGTAGTGGGAGGGAGAGGAGAGGGAGGCGGAGTAGGAGCTGGCTATTGGGTGTGCTGACCTGCAGAAGTCCCAGATCCGTCGATCAGGGCCTGATTATGCCGTAACGTTGCGAATTCTAGTGCCGTCTGGAATCTTGACCCCGCGGATTTCCGAGTGTTCCCTGGGAGGCAAACCAAGAAAAACATTTGGGAAGAGGCAGGCACTCAAACAGAAATATTTGAAAGGAGGAGTTGGGCCGAGGATCACGAGGAGGGAGGACGATGAGAGGGGATGAGAAATTACGGTCAGGAGCTCGTAGCGTGTCGTGCGCCAGTTCTGTCCCATCACGATTCGGCGTGACGCGCTGAGCACGTCCCGGTCACCAAGCATCACATCACAGAGCCGTTGCCAGCGTCCCGTCCCACGCTCGAGGCAATGCGACACGCTATCAGCTTGCAGGGCACAGCGTGCCGCCAGGGCCGCCGCCGCGAAATGCCAAGCAAAGGTTCTTCACCCCGCTAGTCTAGGCCTCCCAGATGGGGTCGGAGCAGATGGGGTCTCTGGGTCGCGCCGTATCGCCGATGCATCGGCGATGCGGCTCGATGTGGAGAGGGAATTTCTCCACGCCGATGGCATGATGGCGCCAATGAATCGCCGACGTCGCCGGCGCAACGCCACTGCATCGCCGATGCACCGGCGAAGCGGCGCGATTCTCCGACCCCATCCCCTCCGAGCCTATCTGGGAGACCTCTCAGTTTTGGGAGGAGGGGTCCTCCGCAGACGACGGCGGCGGCGGCGGCGGAGACCGCAGGGGCCCCCTGCCGGTCATCATCGAGCGCAGGCGCAGCCAGCGGGACGAGGCCCAGGTGGCCGCGGAGGAGGAGGGGGAGGGTCTCGAGTGTTTGCACGGGCGTCCGCGGTTCGGTCGGTTCGGCTGCGTCGTCGCCCGTTGTCTTTCCGGTCGGTTCGCTGCGATCGGTTGCTGCGCCGCTGCCGCGGCGAAGGCAGCGCTTGCACTTGGGAGCTGTTGGTGGATTGGAGTGATCTGCCCTGACATGCGACGTCCTGAGCTTTTTCAGGACGGCGTCCCCGGAAGTCCGGGCCCTGTTTTCCCTCCCGGCTCGTTCCTTGACGGCCCCGAGGCCTGGCGAGGGCCCCCCGAGGCCGAAATTGGCCAGAAACCTCCCTCCCGCCCTGATTTTTTTGTCTTACGACGCGAGCACGTCTGGGTATCGGAGGTGAGGGGGTGAGATCGAAGTGGAACGGAGAGCCCCCCTACCGGGAAATCGATTTCGGTTCCGTGTTCGTGCGTGCCGTGCGTGCTGGCGAGGCGAAGTTGCGTGGGCGGGCGAGAAGAAAGTCTCCTGTGGCTGAGGCGCGGCCGGACCAAATGTCTCCCTTCCAGGCGGCCGGTGGCCCGCGGTGTCCCGCCGGTGTCCCGCTGGTGTTCCGTGTGGCTGAGGCGCAGCCGGACCAAATGTCTCCCTTCCGGGCGGCCGGTGGCCCGCGGTGTCCCGCCGGTGTCCCGCGGTGTCCCGCCGGTGTCCCGCGGTGCCCCGCGGTGTCCCGCCGGTGTCCGGCGGTGTCCCGCGATGATGATGATGATGATGATGATGATGATGATGATGATGATGATGATGATGATGATGATGAGGATGAGGATGAGATGAGGATGGGATGAGGATGAGGATGATGATGATGATGATGATGATGATGATGATGATGATGTTGATGTTGATGAGTTGATGTTGATGTTGATGTGATGTTGATGATGATGATGATGATGATGATGATGATGATGATGATGATGATGATGATGGTGATGCTGATGATGATGCTGATGATCTGATGATGTTGATGCTGATGATGATGATGATGGTGATGATGATGATGATGATGATGATGATGATGATGATGATGATGATGATGATGATGATCGAGTGAGATCGAGTGTGAGATAGATCGAGTGAGATCGAGTGAGATCGATTGTGAGATCGATTGTGAGATCGATCGAGGGAGATCGATCGAGCGAGACCGATACTGAGATCGATAGTGAGATCGATAGTGAGACCGATCGAGTGAGACGTTGGTTCCTCCCCCCCCGAACCTCCTTATCACCCGAAGGGTGGTCGTATAGGTATAAGTATAAGTCTCTGAGTATAATCGGGTGTTGCTAGAAGTACCCCTGGCCCAAGGTACCCCCAGGATCCTCGGGGTGGCCCAGGCGGCCTCCAGGGCACCCCTTGCGAGGCCCAGAGGGCCCCAGGGGCTCCAAAATGCAGCGAAAAGCTGGGGGTACCTTGGGCCAGGGGCACTTCTAGCAACATCCGATCTATAAGTCTCTGAGCATAAGTCTCTGAGGATAAGTCTCTGAGTGTACAGTGCCGTTTTTTGTATACATGCTCCGCGTGCGGAGCATGTATAGAAAATGCAGGGATTTAGCATTAGAAACAGCGATGAGTTCATGCATAGATTTATTCATAAATTAATCTTGCGTTAAATCATAAAAGCGGGTTGCTGAAGCGTGAGTCATGCATGAATCGTGGAGGAACTCTTGAATGATAGCGCGATTTCAAAGTAAATCGCGAGAACAACCAGAGCGAGAGCGCGATTCCTCAGCGTCCACGGCGCGGCATTTGAATCAATTGCGAGGAAATCCCATGCGAGAGCGCGATGTCTGCATACATTGTGAAGAAGTCCCGCGCGAAAGCGCGATCTTTCGGATATATTGTGAGGAAGTATCAGGCGGGAGCCGTTGTTCCTGTTCTTGTTGTAGCTGGGGGGCAACAGTGCAGTTTGAGCAGGAATATTCTTGTCTGATAGAAAAGCAGGGTGCGAGCTCCGAGGGGGGCACTTCAACTGAAAAACGGTTCTTCGTTTGAAAAAAACACAATTTGCACCGGCGATGGGGGATTGCATTGTGATTCATTGGCTGACGCCGCACCGCCGACCCCTTGGGGCGGCAGTAAGAATGAAAAACGGAGTTTGCGGAACGATTTCTTTGCAATCTTGGGGTTTCAGTTTCTTGGGATTTCGTCGGGGGCGGTTGGCGGATCGCCGCTCTGCTCTTGGGCTTCTCTGGGCTCTCCTGGCAGCACTTTAGAGGCCTCTTGGGAGCCGCTTTGAGGCTCTAGGAGCCTCTTTTGGGCCTCTCGGGGGCCTCGTGGGAGCCTCTTGGGGGCCGATTGGCGCCTCCTCAGGTTTTTTCGGGGCCGAGTGCTCGAAATGTTCATTCGGGTTCCCCCTCTGGGCCTTCTCTCGGGGCCCTCCTGAGTCGTTTTGGAAACTTCTGGGGCCGTCTTGGGGCCCTCTTGGGCCGTCTTGGGGCCCTCTAGGGGGCCTCTTAAGCCATCTTGGGTCGATCTCAGAAGCTTCTTGGGCCGTTGTGGGCCTCGCGAAAGCTTAAGAGGCGAAGTTGCTGAAAAAGTACGTATCCCGAAAGGAATTGGACGATTTTTGCTTCTGGAGGGCCTCTGGGGACGCCTCGTGGTGGCTTCTTGGGGCGTCTTGGGGGCGTCTGGGACCGTCTGGAGGCGATCTTGGGCGTCTTGAGGCGATCTTTCGGCGACTCGAAGGCCTCTTGGACTGTCCGGGGGGCCTTTTGGGGCCCTCTTGGCCCGTTTTGGGGCCCCCTGAGGCTGGAAGGGAGCGGCTGACATCTTGGCCCCCCCCCCCTCCAAACCGGGCGGACCTGGCTCCCGGGGGATGGGGTTTGGGGAGGGGGAAGCATCTCACACGCCGTGACCCCAAGGGGTCGGCGGATAATTCTCAAGAATGAGAGCTCAACAACAACATCAGCAGCAACAGCATAAACATCAACAACAACACATTCAACAATCATTTGAACACTGTTCGCTCTTGTCTGCTCGCGTGCCACTCAACACGTAGATCCCAAATCCTCGATACCCGGCCTCCTCGTTTTCGATCGTACCCCTCTGAGGGGAAATCTTCCCGACCTGCCGCGTGCAGTTGGCGCAGCCGTTAAAACATGGGAAGAAAGCGAGGAGAGGAAGGACGAGGTTGGGGGAGAATGGTGGAACACGAGGGAGACTTCCACGAGGGGGAGTAGAAGGAGGAGCACAAACGGCAGAACCGGGCGGGCCGGCTTGGGCGGCAGAACCGGGCGGGCAGAACGGCAGACCCTAAGGGCAGGTCGGGCGGGCGGGCTAGGACGGCCGGTTCGAGCCGGCAGGGCGCTGAAACGTCAAGCCAGCATGAATCGCAAAGAAGTTTCCAGCGGTAGCGCGATTCCCAGGTAAATCGTCAGGAAATCAACCGCGAGAGCGTGATTGCTCTTCAGAAGTGGAGAACTTAAGGGAATCATAAGCAAGAGCCAACGACGGCGACACCAACAACAAACATACCAGACCACGGCAGGACAGCATATGTTCGGCGAAGACGCCGAATGAACAAAACAGTAACACCAGCAACAGGAACAACAGAAACGAACATGACAGCAATACCAAGAGCACAAGAGGCATCACGAGCAACGACAACAACGACATCAACAGCAACAAACATGATACCCAGTCGCTCCTCGTGGCCACGCTTCGTTCATACGTCCTCTGGCGAGCTGTGGCCTGACCACAACGTTCGCGAATCGTATTTCCGCAAAACAAGAAACGTAGCAACAACTACACCAAGAGCGGAAAGCAGCAACAACAACAACAAATTTACAATAACGACAACAAGCCATAGACAACAAGCAGCGACATCACCAACAACGCCGCCATAGCATGACGCCGCCTCTAAGGGGCGTTCCGTGACATACGAACGCCGTTTCCGAGACGTCCTCGAGATTGCTTCGAGATTTCTCCAACATGACCCTGCGAGCCCCACTTCGCCCTAAGATTGCCTCAACAGGGCTCTAATGTGACTCCGATGCGTTTCTCCCTCCTAAATTTGATTTTGGCTTGGGCCGATAGGACGGATGTGGGCGCTGGCTTTCCACCCCCTCGTCGTTGTCCTTTTCCTCCTCCCCCTCGTCCTCGTCGCTCTCGTCGTCGTTGTCGTCGTCGTCGTCGCTGTCCGCCTGGCCCTCCAGCCCCCCGGCCCCCCCAGCCCGATACAGGCGGGAAAACCGACTCCCCGACACAAGCCGAGTCCACAGGTTCTCTGATCACGTGGCTCCCCAGAGCCCTGGATCTCTTCCCTTGGACCGTGTTTTCATCTTGAGCAGTTCTTGGGCGGTCATTTGCCGCCGGAGGCCGACCATGTGTTCGTCACGACGCGAAGGTGTCGGGGCGAAGTGAGATCGGGTCATGGCTCGAGTCGTGGTTTCTGGGCCATCGAGCCTCCACATGCCGCTCGGGACGCCCCCGAACGCCCTCGGTGATGCAACTGCGCACCGGACGCATCCCCAGGCCGGAGGACCCCCAGGAGCCGACGAGCACGCCCGAAACAGGTTGTCTTCCCGCGACGCGAGGCTGCCAGGGGGTCCCAGACCCAGGCGTCAGGATGTGTTCCCAGCGTTGACCCCTAAAAGGGTCTCGACCTGCTCCCCGGGCCCAGCTTTGCATCGACCGGAGCCGTGCTCTATACAGGCCGCCGGGGCCCGTCGAGGGCCGCCGGCGAGGCCGAGGAGGGCCCACAGAGCCCTCCGCCGTGGCTCGCGAGGGCGCCCGCTCCAGGCAGCCGGCGCTAGGAGCGTGTCCGCTGCGGGGGGCCCCGGCCGTGGGGGCCGCGGGTCCCGAGGGCAGCGGGGTCCTGCTTCTCTTGTTGGGCCTCCCGGGGGGGGCCCTCCCCGCGGGCCCCCCTTTGGACCGTCAGAGGAGGATGCGGGCCCCCACAGCCCAGGACGCACGGAGGTCTGGACAGCTTCCGCAGGGCCGGCGTTTCGGCCCGAGGCGCTCCTGTGGACGGTCCC